TAAAATTTAACCCTCTGATGCTCCGTTCAACAAATATGGCTTTAAATTTTTGAATTTTTTATGTGCTACAAAAAAAACTTCAGTTTTATTAATGATCAATGGTACCAAAACAGAACTATGGTTCTGTACTGGTAACAACTGCCTTCAGCAAAGTATCACCACAGTTTTGGTGACAGTGACAACAGCGATGAACCCGGAATTGTTTATAAGTTTTGTCAAAGGAACAACTGAAGCGTTGCCGCAACGCATTCTTTTTTTGTTCAGCAAACGTTGTGGATTTTCAACAGCAGAAAAGAAGGGATTGGCAGTAAAAAATTTTGCACTCATCATCCAATTCTTGACAGTTTCTTTTTAGTTTATTTATCTGGATTCTTGTACATCGCAACGATGTACCCGCGTATAAATCGACGACTAGGTTTTGAGGTAAATATTTCTACTAATCCTGTGCCTATATACCTTCACAACGAGCCTCGTTTGTATCTGTCGTATAGTATAAACAGTAAAATTATGAAAAACTTCTTTATAAATTTATGATACTGTACTGCAAACTGTTTTATATTTTTTTTTTATCACCGCTTGACCATTTACAATTATTAATTTTTCTGATAAATTATCACTGCTGAAAAATTAACTGAATTGCTTTCCTTCTGTGTACTCACTGATGTCGCTTTTGTCCATTGAACGTTTGAGGGATGGAGAAAAAAAAAAAAAGAAATTGATTGTAATAATGGTGGTGATTGCTTATGGTTATGGATTACTCAATACGCTCATTTTATTTGAAAAAACTCAGCCAATATTTATTAACCTTACAAGTCTGATCACTAAATCTAAACGTGTTATGCTGACGGATGAATGCTTGATGATAGAAAATCAATATACTTTTATTTCATAAGTAATATTTTACTATTACTCTTGTGCTGAAATTCTATAACACGTTTTACGTTATTGTACTGTATAAGTTGTGTTCGACGAACACTCTTACAGTGTTTTGGAGTGATTCAGTTGTTGGGGATATGAGCAATTGATTTGTTAGTTTTTATGTTTGTTCAGTCGGCACCTCTTGAAAGACGTTTTTTTTTCAAAACGTATCTATTGTGCCTTTCGCTAACACTTTTGGCTAACACTATTTTCCTTCTTTCCTTTTTTTTTGCGGTTTTGAAAGCTGAAAAGTTCTATAGACCTGTAGGCAGTCTTGGTTTTTTTTTTTCTTGCTATATTTTTTACAGGTAAAACTGATATGAACAGCCGGTTATTGTTTGTGCATTGTCCTGATATCATTTTCTCTACCAGAAGCTTTGATTTCAAGATGGATCATTATTGCTCTGCTTAGACTTGATATGCTTAGACTTTCCTTTGGCAAGAGGATAATATTTAAAATCAATTTTGAACCTATGTCTTCCTCTTACCGCCTTTTTTTTTTTTTTTTTTTTTTTTTTTTTTTTTT